TTTTTTTTTTTTTTTTTTCTCTAGCGAGACTCTATCCACATTTATAAATCTTCCCGATATTAAAGCGAGCCTATATCCATATTTGCTACTCCATGATACATTCTTTCCACGAACAAACACTTCATTGAATGATGAACTTTTCAAATTTCATCTTCGACCTATGTTCTCCAACCTAAGAACAAATAGGTAATAACATTTCACTTATTGAAAAAGGTTCTACGACTAATTCGTAATCCTTAGATGCTGAAGGCACACTTAAGGTGATCTCGTAATTCCTACGAGTGGAGGTTATAGGTTCAGTTGATATATATTTTCTTATGATAATTCATATCATAAAATATTATGAATTTTACTTATTTGACAGTTTACCATCCTCTTTTCTTTTATAAGAATTTAAGATCCATCTTGAAATATAGAAGATGAATTATAAGCCTATGATAATGAAAAATAAAAAAGATACAAGAAAAATCTGGACAAAAATTTGGGTATTTTCAATTTGTATAAAGCTAAATGGCCCCTAATATTTATCTTTTTTCATATTAAGCATGAGAAGTTAAGGTTATAATAAACAATTGAGAGGGACTAATACTATTTTACCTTTTCTTCTTCATTGGTTTTTTTTTTTTTTTTAAAGTCTAACTCACGTTTGAGATTTGACCGATTATAAAGACAATTAGCAAACTAATTAAAATAATTAATGATGGAAGTTCGCTTCAAGCCTTCAACTCTAATTATTTAATGTAAGATAGAAATAAAACATTAATTAGGGGTATTCAATTGAGATTTTTAATGACTTTTAGAGATTTAAAAAGTTTAGAAGTAAGTATTCAATGTAAAATTTTTGAAACTCTCTAAAAGTATATTCAATTGAGGCTTTTAAAAAGTCTCTAAAGGTCATAGTGTATTCAATTAAAACTTTTTAAAAGTTTCTATAAATTTTGGGGTATTTAAATTTTAATGACTTTTAGATTTTTTTTATAAAAGTCTTCGGAATACTAACTTTTAAGCAGAAAATACTAAAATAAAATCTAAAAAATTGTCTATCATTAATTACAAAATTTTGGGAGACTTTCACAAAAAAAAAAAAAAGAAGAAACTAATATGTATTTTTTTTCAATATTTCCTTTTATTTTTTGTTCTACGAACATTAGAGTTACGTTTAAATTTCTCTCTCTCTCTCTCTCTCTCTCTCATTTTTCATCTCCATTTTTTATGAAAAAACAATAAATTGGATTTTTATAACTTTTTTTTTTCTTTTTCCATTCATTTTTTTCGTGACAAAATATCTATTTTTAATTAAATTATAGAATTTTCTATAGACTAATTTGTAATTAAATTAAATTAAATTGATTTTTCATTTATTCTTTAAAGGTATATTATATTAATAGTATTGAATACACGCACACATATATAATTTTGATTATTATTTATTTAATTAGGATCTTAAATTTGTATTCTTTTCAAAATACCTTTTTATTATATGGGAAGGAAAAATGGAAGGAGAAAAGGAATTGTGAATCACCACTCGTATGTAAGAATTTTATATTATTACACTATATCCACATGAATTTCATCTCAAATGAAAGTTTTCAAAAATCTTTTGAATCCTACAAAAGTTTTAAATAAAAGTCTATATATATCTACAAAAGACTCCTATTAATTCCAAACAAATTTATAAAAAAATCTACGAAATCCACACAAGTCATCACTTAAGAAAAATCCATCAAAATCTTCAAAAAATTCTAATTGAATACACCCCTCTAAGTATGGAATTAAATACATTAAATATCCGTATTAATTAATTATTATTTTTATATAAAATAATACTACGATGAGTCTTTAAATATTTTGGTTGACTAACCCGTAAATTATTTTTGCATGAGTGGAAAAGAAGTTAAAAGTATTCCGACGAGCGATTATATGAAGACACAAAATAAATTAATTTATTAATTAATAGAATATTAACAAGCTTAATAAATAATTAGCAAGTCAATTGAGTAGTTGAAATGTTATTCTCAACACATGAATGGTATGTACTAAATGGACTTCCATTTATTGTTTTCTTTTTATTTTTTTATGCTAATTGGGTGCCAGGGCATATTCTTGTGGCCGTACGTTTTTAACGTGTATTTTTGGACCACCATTAGGTCCACATGACATTGTTATTGAAATTGCAACACCTGCAACTATGAAATTTGGGATCAATCATTTTCATCGAGAAGAAATCCAAGTTTTTTCAGATCGAGATTGAATTGATGGTAAAATAGATAAATAAAAATAGAGCCAGCAAAATTCCTTATACTAAGTATCTAACTTAGCCCCCATTATTATCTCATTAAAATGAAAAATATGACCGTTATCCATCACATCAACATTTAAATTCAAATTTTCTATCTCTTATGTGAGTCCCAATAACGACTATATTTTTTCATTCTCATTCTACAATAATTTGGCTCAAACAGGACCTTATTAGTCGAAGAAAAACTCTTTATATTTTATTTTTCCCGTCTGGAATTATGTTATCGTCTTAGATAATTAGATTGAAAAAAAAAAAAAAAAAACCATATTATCACAAAAAATTTTAAAAAGGTTTATAAAAATAATGTAAATTTTTTATTTTGTGGAAATCACTTTAGTTCAAGGAATATACAAAGACATATTCCTATTT